TCAAAACACAAAAGAATGAAGTGGGGAGGTGGCTTTCCCAGACTCTGCCCCTCCTGAGGGCAGTCTCAGCGGCCAGCATGATGTGTGTCCTCTAGAGCAGGGACTCCTCACTCTTGGGGATCTGTGGGGAGAATTCAGGCATGTAGACTTGGATGGACAAAAAATTACATTTTATTATCAATAACCTCTACAGAAAATTTCCTTCTGTTATGAATGTAGACAACAAATTTCAATAGTATTAACAATACCTTTGACTTTACCACAAGTAGAAATCACAAATATTTTCACATTACATTAGAGCTATTGCCGGTACTTGAAATATTGTTTATGTTCATCATGACTTTTAAATTACAGTAGCTGTTAGCCAGTGAAGGTGTTATTAGTTGAGAGTCACATATATCACTATCTTACCCAATATTTTAATAACTGGATTCAATATAATTGGTTCCCTTTGTAATCCTATGTATTTTATCTAATGCATTTAAAAATATTATTCTAAGAAGGAGTTGGAAACCTTTGTCAGGATGCCAAGGGGATCCTGGTACAAAAGAAAGATAAGAATCCTTGAATAAGATGATCATATGGACATACACACACACATACACACACACACACACACACACACATATACACACACGCGTTTTTTCAATCACATATGGTAGCATCAGTGCAATCTTTTCATAGAAACACCAACTTGACCATGTCACTCTCTGCTTAAAATCTTTCAAGGGCCTCCCCTTTTCAGCCCTGTCTTTTAGATAAAGTCCTAGATCCCGCTCAGGGCAGACAAGGCTCTTTGCAAGCATTGCACCCCTCCAAGAACGCATCTTGATCTTTTATGCCTGATTCTGTTCCCTCTGTGCTTACTCCCTCACCTCGACACCTTTTTCCCCACTCATCGAACTCTTATTCATCACTCAGTGTCTACTTCCCGGAAGCCTTTCTCAGCCCAAAAGGAGGGATGCCCTGGGAGGGGGCCCTTCTCCTCTGGGATCCCACTCTCTGGTCTCTCCTCTGCAGTGGTGCTTGGCAGGCTGCCACCCAATGCCTCATCTTGCACCCCAGACCTGGGTGTGCTCTCGGCCAGTAGCATCCCTACTTGCCAGGGGCAGAGGTGCAGCGGGAGTGGCCCCTGTGTGCCAGCACATCCCCACCCCTGGGTTAACCTTCAATCACCAGGAGAAAGACACCTCTGAGACTGTGGGCATATTTGCTGCTGCCAACAGCCATAGGCTGCTCTGTGCCCGTCATGGGTAAAGGCCGTGATACCCGCAGCTCCCACACCTTGCCTACACCCAGGGTCCAGAGTCTGCCCTGGATTCCCTGGCACCTTTCTCTTCGTTTGAACCTCTTGCATTCACCCTGGTTCCCTAGCAACTCAAGAGCACATTTCTGGTCCAATGCCAACACTGCCATCTGCTCACTGCCATCTACAGTCCTTACAGCTTATAGCTACACATTCATATCCCTCATCCTTATAATTACCTAGCAAAGTGGTGCTTCTCTTACTCCCATTTGTTGGTAAGGAAACCTTATAAAGGAGATAAGTGTGTGTGCCGCTGGAAATGCTCCGTATTGCTTTTTCTTAAGTAGAGATTCTAACCCATTTCTGAGCCATGACTGCCTTTGGCTGTCTAGTAAAGGCTATGGGCCCTTCTCAGAATATTGCTTCGAAATGCACAAGGTAAAATGCATAGGATTACGAAGGAAACCAATTATTTTGAAATATAGTTATAAAAATATGAAAAAAATAAATTGCAGTTCAAAAATATAGGTGCTCTTTCATTAACACATTAAACAAGATCTAGTGTTAGTGTAATAACTGTGGGTGTGTAATAGCTGGTAGCCACAATGAAATATCCATCCCAAAATCACCAACACTACCGTTAATAGTTGTACGGTTTTGTTGCCTATGTTCATAACCTTAGATGTTAGCAAAAAGGCGAAATAGTTTTCCCATCAAACTTTATGGATTTTTGGAATTCCACACCCCATGAACCAAGAAGAGCATGTCAGCAAGTTATGCTACAGCTGGACAGACTCCCCAGGAAGGTGGGTTGGGGACACAGGGCCAGAGCCACCAGGGCAGGGAAGGCTCCTGGATAGAACTGTGAAACCAGTTTTGGGTTTTGATCCAGAGACAGATAGACAGACAGATGAACGAAGAGAGGAACACAAGGAAGTTGTAATGGGGTAGTGGAGCCATAGATTGAACACACTCAAGTTCGCAGGGGCAGGTTCGACTATTAACAGCTCCCTCTGGAGTGTGGAAACGGGGTCTCAGAAGTGAAGGAAGTGGCAGGCCTCATGGTAGATAGTTCTATGTGGATTCAGACACCCCACTAGTCACAGCAAGCCTAAGGCTGAGGGACACCCCTCAAATGCAAGAGATCGAGCTCAGGAGAGAAGGTTGAAAAGCTGGCCTCTCCATTTATTTGTGTGACTTTGAGGCATTTACTTCATGTATTTGCACATTTGTTTCTTATCTGTGAAATGGGAATAATAGTGATTACGTCACAGAACTAAATGTGATTAAAAAACACCTGAAGCACAGCAGGGAGGGCCCAATGCCTGACACACAATAGTGTTTATAGGGCCCTTTTGCTCTCCCAATTAGCAGAGCTTTCTTCTTTTTAAAAAATTTTTTCCTTTTTATTTATTGGGGAATTGGGGGAAGGGGAGCAGACAAGTTGCTGTCGTTTTGTTCTTCAGTCTAGTTGTGGAGAATGTTGCTTCACTGGCCCAAGTTGGCACCGTCATTGCGCTCTTCCCAGGCGAGGCAGATCAGTCGCCGGCTTCTGGACAGCTGCTGGTCGCTCTCCCTGGCTGCTGGCTACACATGGTAGCCCATGGCAACCCACTGCAGCAGGGCTGCACCTACACAGCCTACAGGACTCACGGCAGCCCAGCTCCAGGTTGAGCTGTTGTTCAGCATCTTAGCTGTAGAGGGCAGTGTCACTGGCCCTCATATGTGGGATCTGAGCCGGGGCCCTCTGGTGTCCCAAGACAGCTCTTAGCCAGCGAGCCACTCGGCCGGCCCGGGCCCTCTGGTGTCCCAAGACAGCTCTTAGCCAGCGAGCCACTCGGCCGGCCCCAGAGCTTTCTTCTTGAATCAGCAGTGATGGCCCACCCCAGCCCCCTCCTTGGGTGCTGAGGGGCTGGCCTGCCCTTAGCCCCAAGGGAGGATGAGTAACTGACCATTCAATCTTCGAAGGTGAGAAAGTGGTTGAGGAAACAGCAGCCTCAGCAGAATCTGCCAGCCTCCTGCTAGGAGAGGAGCTGGGGGTGGATCTCTGGTCGAGGGTCAAGGTGGCCCCACCCCTGGGGCCCATGAGTTCCTGTTGTGGTGAGGAGAGGTGGTTGAGGTTTATTGGAAAGCACGTGAGCCTGGCATCAGACCGACTTGGTTCTCCAGCGGGGCTGTGCAGACTGTGGGCCGCAACACTCCAGGAGCGCCAATGACGTGCAGACTACGGGGAGCATGCTCTGGGAGTTATGCAATCCAGACACCTTGCCTGAGTTCCAAACTGCCTCTGCCACTCCCTAGTCCTGTGGCCTTGAGCAAGCCACTTACCCTCTCAAGCTCATCTCTAACGGGGACCACCACACCCACCTTAATGGCTGTTAATTGTTCCTAATAATTGCTCCATAAACAGCAGCTCCTTCCCCCAGGCCACTTCCAAGGACCCACCCCAAGCTTCAAGGTTCTAAGGGCATAAGGTACTAAGTGTTGAGCCCAGTTTGTAGCATGTGGAGAATACAAGAAGGCAGGGAGGGTGAGACAGGTAAGCGAGGAGAGGCTCCCTGGCCCCACTGTCCCCGCATGCTGCCCCTTCCTTTGGCAAACAAAGAATGGGCAAGTGCCCTTGAGGAGAGTGGGATGCGGGCACCCTCCTACCCCAGGCTTCCTTCTGGCTAATGATTCCTCCACCCTCCCTGCCACCCCTGCAGAAAGACTTTGTCAGCGAGGGCGGGCCTCTGATGTCAGGGGTTAACTGACTTCCATTTCTACTCCAGACCTGAGGTCAGGCCTCTCTAGACTTGGGGGCCTCAGCAGCAAAAGGCAGGGTGCTCTGGTACACAGACTCGCAAGACTATGACTCAGCATTTATCCCATAATTCCATGCACAAAGCAGAGATGGGGATACCTTTCACATGTCCTATAAAATGTGAATGGCGCCTTCTGGAGTTGTGCAATGCAGTCATCATGCCAGGATTACTAGGAAGGAGATCCTGCTCCATTTCCCAAACTTTCCAGTGATTCACTTCTTCAGAAAAGATTTACTTTGAAAACAGCAGGATCCTGAGCTTCATGAATCCAGATGTCACAAAACTGTCTGTCTTCAAGGAGCTTGCCTCCTGGCAGAGGGAACAAATACTAGTTAAATCATCGTACACGTATAATAATTACGTTCTTTTTTTTTTTTAAAGAAGGGCTTGTTCATGTATTTAAAAAAAAAAAACTTTATTGGGGAACAGTGTGCTTTTTTCTAGGACCCATCAGCTCCAAGTCAAGTTGTTGTCTTTCAATCTTAGTTGTGGAGGGCGCAGCTCAGCTCCAAGTCCAGTTGCTGAATAATTACATTCTTACAGGCTCTCATAAAGCCAGAGGAGGCCAGGGGACCAGGCAGGGGACCACAATGCCCAGGTCCCAGTCTGGTAGCCCCCATCTCATCTAGGGCTCCTCACCTGGGCCCCCTGCAGCACCCTTGGGTGGAGCAGGGTCTGATACCCAGCTCCAGATTCTCCAGCCCCTTTCGTGTGCCTGGATTGTAATGTCTGGGCTTCTCAAGGTCAAACACAAGATCGTGAGTGCCTTGCTTTGTTTTTTATTTCCATTTTAGAATGGAACTTTGGGTTCAGGAATCAATGACTGGATTTCACAGGCTCTCCCCACTCTGTTACAAATGGCCTATTTTCTCTGGGGGCAGGAGGTGACATGGCTCTGGGATATAGACCTGCCACCTCTAACAGCTCTGCTGCTTGCCTCCCACCCACAGGAAGCCTACTGTGGCTATGCCATCATCCTCATGGCACTCTTCTGGTGCACTGAGGCTCTGCCCTTGGCTGTCACCGCCCTCTTACCCCTCGTCCTGTTCCCCATGATGAACATAATGGATGCCTCTGAGGTAAGCCTCCCCCGTCCACATGAGGAAGGGCTCCCAGGGATGGTGGGATTTGCCCCAGGATGCTAGTGACCCAGGAAGCCTCATCGTAGGCAGAGCACACAGAAGAGGGTCCCTGCCTCTGCTTGGCAAGTCAGAGGTCACTGAGGGAGGAGTCAGCTAGAAGACAAGGAGGGAGGACATTGTAGAGGTGCTGAGTGTATGGCTGGTGTCCAGAGTTAATTCAAGGTGGGAATGATTAGGCTTAGGCCAGGGAAGTGGAAAGTTGGTGACAGGAAAAGGGACCTTGAAAGTCAACTAAAGAGCTTGTATTCTTCTAGTTCAGTGGCTCTTAAACTTGCGTGTCCTTAAACTGAAGGGCTGGATAAAACAAGGATTGTTGGGCCCACCCCAGAGTTTCTGACTCAGTAGATCTGGGGCAGGGCTTAAGCATTTCATTTCTTGCAAGTTCCAGGTTGATGATGCTGCTGGCCCCAGAACCATACTCTGATAACCACTGTTAGTCTCTAAACACAGCACTAAATTATCTATCTCCCAGCCTCTGGCTATCGACATGAGTGAAATTGAGCTAGTTTATCTCCCAAACTTTCCTGAGGGGAGAAAGAATGAGTTTGGCTGGAAGAGAGGAACCTGGTTAATATTAAATAGCGAGTAATCCAAAGACCATTTCCATTTGGTTCCAAGAGCCCAGGGACCAACCTCTGTTTGTGTGAATGTCAGTGACTGCACCAGGTAAGCCCAGGGGCACAGTAGGAGACCCCAGGGTCTTCCCACTCTCCATTGTCCTTGCCCACCAGGTCTGCCTCCAGTACTTTAAGGACACCAACATCCTGTTCATTGGGGGGCTGCTGGTGGCCATTGCCGTTGAGCATTGGAATCTGCACAAACGCATTGCCCTCCGCGTGCTCCTTATCATCGGGGTGCGGCCTGCTCTGTGAGTTCCCAGGACCAGAGAAACCGGGGCCGGTGGTATTCTGGGCATCCAGTCCTTGAAGGAATGCTGGAATGCCAGTGTGTCTGTCTGTCCATCCCTAGGCTGATGCTGGGCTTCATGTTGGTCACGGCCTTCCTGTCCATGTGGATCAGCAACACGGCCACCACGGCCATGATGGCACCCATTGCACATGCTGTCCTTAACCAGCTGCAGCAGGCACCCAAGGGCAAGGACATTGAGGAGGGAAACAACAACCCCACCTTTGAACTCCAAGAACCAAGTCCCCAGAAGACCAAACTTGGTGAGAAAGATGAGGCTGGACTCTGCCCCAACCCCTTGGCTCTTGGGGAGGGTCTGAGGGGGCAGCCAGTCTCAGGGGAGAGAATTAGGAAGGCAAGAAGTGCTGTGACCAACTTGTCTTGGTTTTCCTGGTTTTAAAACGAAGAGTCCCATGTGCTGGGAACCTCTCCACCCTGGGCAAATCAAGATGCAGGGTCACTCTGGCAAGCAGAGAGCTGGAGTCCGGGTAGGCCAGGCTCCGTTCTTCCTGTGTGGTTTGGATAATCCTCTGCCCAGCTCTGTGCTTCAGTTTCCCTCTCTTAAGAGACAGGTTGGGCCAGATGGTGTCTGAAGGTCAATCCAACCTGAGACTCCCAAGAATGCTGGGTCCTTGAAGGACTGGAGGCAGCTTTTGCCCCCTTGGTACCCCAGATCTGGGCTGCTCACTGACAAGGTGCCCTGCCTGTACCCCAGAAGCTGTGGAGCTCAAACCGGGCTCCCCAGAGCTGCCCACTTCCTACCTGAGCTCTCCCTTGTTCCCAGATAATGGGCAGGTCCATCCTGTCCCTCCTGGTCCTTTGCATGCAAGGAAACAGAAGAGCCGGGAAGAGCGCCGCTTTTCCCAGGGCATGAGCCTGTGCGTATGCTACTCAGCCAGCATCGGGGGCATCGCCACCCTGACTGGCACCACACCCAACCTGGTACTACAAGCCCAGATCAACGCGTGAGTGACTGAGGGGTAGAGCGTCTGCACTCTCACTGGGGGTGATACGGGCCTGGTGGTTGCCAGGCAATGTCACGCAGCAGCCCACATTCCCCTCCAGGCTCTCCCAAAATGCCAATCTGGTGAACTTCGCCTCCTGGTTCAGCTTTGCCTTCCCCACCACAGTCATCTTGCTGCTGCTTGCCTGGCTTTGGCTTCAGGTCCTCTTCCTGGGGTTCAAGTAAGTGCAGAATAGGTGAGAGAAGCCCAGGTCCCTGCCCGTATCCCCTGAGAGCTTTCAGTTGGGTACTTAAGTAGCTATTGTGGAAAAGGATAAAATCACCATCCCAGTGAGACAGCTTCCCCTCCCAAGACCCCTTGGTGCACTTGGGCCCCCTGTTTGAGGAAATTACTGAGCAGAGAATATTATTATCCCATTTATCACATAAGCAAACTGAGGCTTGAGGAGTAGTACACAACTAGACTTGTCAGAGCTAGGACTGAAAACCAGTTCTGATGCCCAGTCCAGGTTCCACTCCACACTGCTCCACAGTCCTTTGGTAAGTGCTTAAGGAGAACGCACTGAGCATTGTCAGTTACAAAAGCATTTGTTGTGCTCCTACTGGATGTCTGGCATTGTGCTAGGCACTGAACACTAGAAGGCATTAGGCACAGTCCCTGTCTTTGGAGCTCACCATCTGAGGGGTGATGGCAGGGGGGAGACCATGACACACGGAAGTCCGGGTGCTGTGGGAGCACAGCCTAAGAAAGTAGGGGTTCCAGAGGCCCCTGGAGGAGATGATGCCCAAACTGAATCTTGTAGAACTAGAAGTCAGCCAAGTAGAAAATGGGATGAAGGCATTTCAGGCAACGAGAACACCTTGTACCAAGGCACAGAGGCAAGAAAGAATACAATGTGTTAGGGGGAACTCTAGTTCTGTGTGGTTGAAATATAAAGAACAAACAAGAGTATCAGGAGATGAAGCTAGAGAAGTAGGCAGGGGAAAGGTTTTGGAGGATTTGGGGTGTCAAATAAAGGGTTTGGACCTCGTGGCCGAGTAGTAAATAGGTTTTATCCTTACTGACAATCCTCAGTTTCGGGTAGTCATTAGAGTTCTGAGTTGAAAATCACTTAAGACTTTGCTGGGGCTCAGTAAGAACAGAGTCTGGGATTGATTAGTGATTAGGTCTGCTATGAGTATAGGATACGAGTGGTACTGTGGTATGAGTTATTTGCCCTTCCTGCCCAGGCAGTGGGCAGCCATTGAAAAAGTTTTAAGCATTGTTGCGGTACTTTGGAAAAATCTCCTGGGAAGTTGTAAGGAGGATGGATTGAGGCTGGTGGCTGGTACAAGGGAAGATGGTAGTCAAAGAGACGAGCACAGTGCCAGGCATCATGGGGGAATTCAAAGACAGGTAAAGCATGGTCTTTGACCTTGAGGAACTCACCGTCCAGCAGAGGAGTTGAGATTTGCCCAAATGAAAAGTAAAAGTCAAATGAGTTAAGTAAGCAACGTACGAAAGTGGGCTAAAGTCCTCTGTGCCTCTGAGGATGATGAGTGGGTCTCAGGCTGGCAGAGGATGCCCAGAAACTAGTAGGAGAGAGGGAGCACAGGATTTCCTGAGAGGCTGTTGGAGGAGGAGAGAAGTGAGTCAGAGACAGGAGGAGGCGTGGGGTCCAGGCCTCTAGGTCTTCCTCACTCTGAGCAAGGGAGGGCTCAGCTCAAGAGAACCCTTGGAGGGACAGAGGTGAGTGGGGCAGACAAAGCAGGGCCAAGCACGGGGAACCCTGGCCTCCCAGCCCCAACCTTCTTCTGCCTCATGACACCCCACCAGCGCCACCACACTGAGTCTTATGCTCTGCTTTCAGAAACGTGGGTGGATCCAGGGCCTCAGTGTAGCAACGCTGAGATGGCCTCTGCGGGCTTGAGCCCTTACATCACAGGCACTCAGAGTTCCTTACTTCCCTGCCTGGTGTGAGACCCTCATGAGCTGCCTCTGCCCCTCTACCTGCAGCTTCCGGAAGAACTTTGGCCTTGAGGGACAGGCACAGGAGCAAAAGAAGGCAGCCTTACAAGTCATCCAAAGAGAACACAAGCTGCTGGGTCCTATGAGCTTTGCAGAAATCGGTGTCACCTTCTTCTTTATCCTCCTGGTGGTGCTCTGGTTCACCCGGGAGCCAGGTTTTTTCCCTGGCTGGGCCGATGTGGGTTTTCCCCGTAATGAGCAGGGGGAAAGGTGAGCATTCCAGGGGGGTGGGGAGGAATACTTTGGGGACTCACCTGGCTAAAGGGGAGGGAAGGAAGTAGGGCCCCCAGTGTGCTGGGGGACGGGGAGGGATCACTTGCCGGAAGAGCTTGGCACGTCTGTGGGCCCCTCTCCACCACCTCCTCTACCTTGCGTCCTTGAGCAGCCCTGAGCCACTAAGCCTGCCTTCCCTGCCCCACCCGCAGCGCGGTGTCCGATGGGACAGTGGCTATCTTCATCAGCTTAATTATGTTCATCGTGCCTTCCAAGATCCCAGGGCTGACTCAGGATCCAGGTAAGCACATGGACGGGAGCAGGGAAGGGCCTCCAAGCAGCCCTTCCCTTACAGCACGAAATGTACCTTTGACCACACTTGGCAATAGTAGAAAAAGCCCTGAGGGGTTAGGGTGACTTGCCAAGGACACAGGGACTCAGGGACAAAGTTGGGATGTTGCAGGACTGGGGGTTCCCCTCCTGCACGCATTAAGCTCTGATAGGAGCCTATACAGGAGGCCCCAAGTGGAAGCGGGGGAAGGCCTGTTAGCTCTTGGTGACATGTCTTTCTCTGCCTGGGGAATAGAAAAACCAACGAGGCTGAAGGCCCCTCCTGCCCTCCTCAACTGGAAGACAGTGAATGAGAAAATGCCCTGGAATATTGTGTTCCTGCTGGGTGGTGGCTTTGCCCTAGCCGAGGGCAGTGAGGTGAGAGACCCCCGCCCCTTCCTCAGCCTATTTGAGGGAAACCCTGTGGCAGGGAAAGAGGGGCCTTGCTTCTGTCCCACAGGGGAGACCCCCACTTAGGAGCCCTCTGGTGGCAGAGCCTTTGCAGCAGCTGAAGAGAGGTTAGAGCGTCATCTGAGGGAGCGGAGAGAAACACAAGTCTTAAAGGTCTTTTCCCGGTTGGGGTCTCGAAGCCAAAGGGAAGGCAGACTTCTCTGGTGGGCAGGGACTGTTCTCAGTGACCACCCACCCAGCCTCACCCCTTTCAGAAGGAGAACACAATGTCTTTAGCACCTGAGAGTAGCTGGCATCGGGTTGACCCAGTCAGCATGCTGCAGCCACCAGGTGGTGCTGTGATCACACCCAGCCAGGCTCTGGGGACCAAGGCATCATCCCCAAAGCCTCTACCCAAGAGGGAAATCCCTGAACCTGGACCCTTGGTCCTCAGCGTTCCAGCTAAGCTCATTCACTGTACAGACGGGAGGCAGCTTCTCTGGATCACGGATTGGTGCTGGGGACTCCTGGGTCTGAGGTTAATTCATCTGTCAAGCATTCATCACTTATGCCAAGCGCTGTGCTGGGTCCTGGGTGGGCAACATTGTAAAATAAAATCCCAGCTTCTGTCTAGCATTACAGAAGTGGGCAGGGCCAGAACTCAAAGTTCTTCTGACCCTGTGGACTGTCCCCACCTTCCTGTCAGCCTCTTCCCAATTTCTACCAGGGCCCTTCCCCGCTTTTCCTCCTCTGGGACTTCTGTGTGACCTGCTGGGCTGGAGGGGACAGGGAGAGGGCTGAGGTTGGCCAGAGACCTCCTGAAAGAGGTCGGGAGAACAGTAAATGGAGTCAAAGTCTTTACTCCCACCAAGCCCCAGGTTTCCCAAGGATGTCCTTTGGCCCCCTCTTCTAGCTTCTCATCTGACCCTTCTCCCCACACCCAACTATTCTTCAAGAGCAGGGGAAGGGGCCCCTTTATTCTAGCTGGGCCTGATCTTCCCTCCCAAACTACCCTTGACTTTGAAGACTCTAGAGGTGTGGACACGAACAGGACCCTTCCAGAGCCTCGGCAGTGGACTCTGGGACCCCAGGCAGCCCCGCCTCTCACACACCACCCTCCTCTGCCCACAGGTGTCAGGCCTGTCGGATTGGCTGGGGGGAAAGCTGACCCCACTGCAGAGCATGTCGGCTCCCGCCATTGTCTTCGTCCTCTGCCTCCTGGTTGCCACGTTCACTGAGTGCACCAGCAATGTGGCCACCACCACACTCTTCCTACCTATCCTAGCCTCCATGGTAAGCTGGCTCTGCAGGTATACCTCCTTCAGACAGCCCTCCTGCCCACCCCCACCCAGGGGCCCCGCCTGTGGGTCAGAGTGACCTGTCTGCACCTTCTCTCATTTCTGGGAGAAGACCTCTGAGCTTCTACCCTTTCATGGGCTTTCTAGCTACCTTGGGCCCCAAGGCCTTCTGGACCCTGACTCACCCCATCCTGGTGATGTCACCCCTTCAGTATTCCTGCTGGAGCTCACTGGTGGCCTCACTCACCTCCCAAGCCCAGCCCCTGTTCTGGTCATTCCTGAGGTGATGGGGTAAAATTGCTCCCTGGAGTGTCCCCAGCCCCTTCCTCCCCAGGCGCGTTCCCGCAGTCTTTGATGACACCCTGAGCCCCTTTGAGATCCGTTTTATGGGCCCCTCCCCTCACCACACCCCGCACATTCATTCCCTCCAGAGAGGTCAAGGGGCCTGTCCCAGGTCACCCAGTGCCTTCTGGCAGAAGTGTTGGGTTCATGGCCAGTGTGTGTGTTTTAAGGGTGGAGGGATTATCCCTCAAAGAGGGGAAGCAGGAGAATTGGGGCCAAACTTTCCCCTCTGGGATGGGGACTGCCATCAGCTCTGCCTCTCTGTTTCCCCTTTCAGGCCAAGGCCATCTGCCTCCACCCTCTTTATGTCATGCTCCCTTGCACTCTGTCTGCCTCCCTGGCCTTCATGCTGCCTGTGGCCACCCCGCCCAATGCCATCATCTTCTCTTTTGGAGGCCTCAAAGTGACTGATATGGTGAGTGGCAAGGGTCCTGAATGCCTCATCACTCCTGTCTTTCCATCTTGGTTGGCCACAAAGCAGCTTAAAGCCAACTTAGATTCTCAGCATTGAGAGTGGACCCTGTTTGGGGTGGGGGGCAACAGAGAGATTGGGGTATGACCCCCAGCTGGAGCATCTTTAGGCCCTGGCAGGCCTGGGCCATGTGAGGAAGGGGGGTGAGGAATTTAGGGAAGGGTCCAAGGGGCCAGGCAGCCACACCCAGGGACATGGACTCAGAGAGAGGAAGGCCCAGGGAGCTCGTGAGGAGCTTCCGTTTCCCGTTAGCACCGGGAGAAAAGCAAGAGGCCAGGGCATTGTCTAGTGCGGCAGGTTAGACCCAAGGGAGGACTACTTCCCGAGGGAGAATTCCGCCAGTGAGGGAGCTTCTGAGCGCCTGTGAACACTGAGGGAAGGGGTGCTGGCCCTGTTCGGCGCCTGCTCACTCACACTGGCTCTCCGCACACCAGGCCCGGACGGGATTCCTGCTCAATATCACCGGCGTGCTGGTCATCATGCTGGCCATCAACACCTGGGGCTACCCCATCTTCGACCTTCACACCTTCCCCTCTTGGGCCCAATCCAACGCCACAAGCCTCTGCGTGGTCGGCCAGGCAAACATCACCACGCCTAGCCCTTAGACCAGGGTTCATTTGGCCAAGACCAGGAAGACCCAACCTGTTCCTACTCCTCTGAGTCAGGAGGGGACACTCAGGCTCCACGCCAAACATCAAGAGAAAGGCACATGTGTATATAAGGTCCCGTGTTTCTGTAAGAAAGGTGTGTGTGTGTGTGCTCAGTCCTGTGTGTCTGAAGAAAATGTATATATATATATATGTATGTATGTATGTATGTATGTATGTGTGTATGTGAGAATGCTGTGTCATGTGAGGATGCCTGAGGGGGGTTTGTGTGCATGCACACGATCCTAGGTGTGTGTGCTTAACAGTGCATATGTGTGTGTGAGTTCACAGACAATAGAACATGCCCTCTCTGGCACCCCAGGTCTTGGTATCCCCAGCTTGGTGGGTGACCAGACCCCTTTGCACTCTATTTATTGAAACTCAGGGTTCGGGTGACCTGGGGAGCAGGGCCTACCAGCAGTTGCCATGGCAACAGCCTCTGGGACTGGCCCAGCCTACTGAGCTCTCCCCAGTCTCTCGGGTTTGTAAGGAGGGTTTAAATACTAGCCACATTAAAATCTTCAGTAGAGTCTGGAATGTTTTTTTACAGCACTTTACAGGGCTGGTCCACCACATGGTTCAGGCCCCATGTTTGGGAGTATGGTGGAAAGGGACCTGGCTTCTGTCCTCTATGGCAGCCTCCTGGGTACCCCTCCCACCCAAGGTAGAAGGTAATGGCCAGGAACCCCTGCCAAGATCAGTCGGAGTGGGCGCAGCCACCCAGGAAAGCAGCACTGACATCACCCAACCTGGCTAATTGGGAGCTGCCAGTCCCTGCGTGTCTTTGGGAAAACCGGCCTCTCTGTTCCCAGAGCACTCCCTGGGCATTTACATAAAACCCTCTGCCCCTGCCAATTCCTCACCGACCCTTCCTCCAGCTGGAAAAACCAGTCCCACCAGACCAGGGGAGACAGGCTGACCCATGCTAAGTGCCCAGAAAGATGGACCCTTACCCAAAATGGCAGCCTGCAGCAAGAAGGCTGCAGGTAAGACTCACAAGAACAGGTTCAAAGCTGGCATGGTCTTCAGAGTCCAGGACCAGACAGTCCTCTGGATCATTCTGCCTCCCACCTCACCTCCACCCCTCCTCTGCCTCCCTGGCTTCATGAACTCCAGAGTTTTCATGTATCTGGCAAGGTGGGGTGAGGATGTGGAAAGGTGATATCACATTCATCATCCATTCTGGGAGCTCAATATCCCTTCCTGGTTGGAAGTTCATCTATCAATCCTAAGTCTCACTGGGGACAATGGCATGTAAGCCTTGGGTTCATCTAGATCAGCGGTTCTCAACCTGTGGGTCACGACCCTTTTGGGGGTCGAACGACCCTTTCACAAGGGTCGCCTAAGACCATTGGAAAACAAAAAGATATTTACATTACGATTCATAACAGTGGCAAAATTACAGTTATAGAGTAGCAACGAAAATAATTTTATGGTTGAGGGTCACCACAACATGAGGAACTGTATTAAGGGGTCGCACGGCGTTAGGAAGGTTGAGAACCGCTGATCTAGATGGACGTTTCCAAGTGTCTCATCTAGTTCCCTCTTGTGCAGTAGAAGAAAAAAAGAAAGATTTACTATTACTCTCATGCCCAATAAAAAAGAGGGCTGAGTTGTGAAGAGAGAAAATCCGAAAGGATTTCATTCTGGATTCCCCCTGGGCTGGGCTTTCACTCAGTACTCCTAGAGCTTGGGGTTTGAGGGTGGATAGGAGGCTCAGATGGGAGGGGGCTGCTGCATGGGGGAGAACATGGCTGTCCCCAGGGGACAGGGGATCCTGACAGGACATGCCAGACATCCAGCAGAGTGAAAAGTGTCAGGCAGAGTGACTCCAACCCCCCAGGCTGGCATTCCTCATTTATGAAGCACAGTCATAAATCACAGCTCCCACCCAGACCCATAGTAGGACCCCACAAGGCCCCAGGCAACAGCCCCCACCCCCATTGGGAGTGGCCAGCCCTAGAATGGTGGGACTCCTCCGGTGGTTTACCCACACTGCAATGGGTTTCTAAGGAGCAGCCCCAGCCCTATCTGTAAGGAGGACCGACCCTCCGCTACCACTTTCTTCTGCACCCTGGTTGGGTACCCACAGTCCAACTCAGGCTGGGGAAGATGTGGGTGTGCTTCTCAGGGGGCACATGCCCTGTCCACTGTTCTCAGCTCCCCTTCATACCTCCCCCGTTTCCCCACTCATTTCTGCTCAGAAAGAGTCAGATGTCGCCTAAGTGTACACAGCAGTCCCAGGGGATGAAGACTGGGCTGGCCCTGCCTTCTTGGGGGAGGAGGTAGATGAAAGCTGGCCTGAGAGTTGAGGGGTCATCCATGGGGGGTGCTCTGGCAGAGCTTGGGGGGCAAGCCTCCCCCCTGGGTACTAGGAAACCATCCTCCCCAGCAGGCGGAGGGCGGACAGGAGGCAGGCGGCACCTGTCAGCCTAATCACCGTCATTAGCTGGGCAATAAAGCAGCAGAGACCAGGCCAGCCTTTGAAGGAAGGCCTGTCAGCCCAGGTCAGGTTTTTGCAGGCAGCCTAGCAGCTCTGCCCCTCTTGCACACACACTCTGGGCTATGGCAGGTGGATAGGGCACTGCTGGGACTAGGGCCTATGCCCTCCCTGCCTGGGCACCCGCACCTCTTCACCATGGCTTCTAGGAAGATAGCAAGGGGCTTTGGGTGTCTCCTACCAGCTGAATTTGTGCAGTGCCGGTACTCAAGAATGGCTATGGTAGAGCTTGCCATTGCTGGAGGAGATCAATGAGGCTGGAAACAACTTGAGGACAGTCTGCCTGATGCAGCTGTGTCCTCAGTTCCTAGCACAGGGCCTGGCACAGTAACTACTATATGAATGAATGAATCAGATCCACAGGGGGCTTCTTGATCCTGGAGGAAAGTTGGACATCCCCTCAAAGCCCCTTTCTAGATTGCTGTGTGACCTTGAGACAACATCTTGGCCCCTCTGGGCCAGGGTCACCTTCGGCTCAGCACAGGCCCAGATTTCTGAGCCAAATCCATTTGTTTTTCCCCTACCCCGACCCAGGGCCCTGGGAGTGTCACTGTTTACCTTACCGTCCTCCTGCTGGCCAGCACCAGACCCAGAGGCAACTGTGGCAGCCAGAGGGCTCAGGGATGAGCTCTGAAGCCAAATGTTTCAAGGAGAAACCTTGCAGGGTGGAAAAGGAGGATTTGTTAGGGAGATGGAAAAGGTGGGAGCAAGGCTATTGATCCCATTCCTTGGGTTCACCTTGACTTGGGCCTTAGGTCAAGAGCAGTTCTAGGGTTAGGGTCTTCAACCCCAGAATAGGCTCCTTAGGGCCTCAGGACATGACTTCCTTGTCTCCCCAAAGTCTCAGAGGAGAGGCTGCTTCCTGAAGAGGTACGAGTGAGCTGTGCAGGAGGGAGAGCAGCCATGGGGTGCAGGGTGAGGGGTCGGGTAGGACTGGGATGGGTGAGGTTCTGGTGGGGACCAGCCTGAAGAGGGTGCCCCCTGCAGCCTCCACCCCAGCCTGGGCCCCATTAGTCATACTTGGCAGAGCCATGAGGTTTTACTAGGGGCAGCGAGTCTGAGGGCCTTCAAAAGGGTAAGCCCTCAACTTCAGGGAGGGGAAGGGGAAGACGAGGGCACATGAGGTCAGGGGGGAAGGGGCTAGAACAGCCTGATTGGAAAGATTGTGACAGGGATTCAGAAGAGATGCTCTCGAGGGGTAAAAAGTATAACTATTGCACTGTGTTGTACAGCTGAAACTAATTCTAAAAAATGTGTATTTCATAATAAAAAATAATTTAATAAAAAAAAAAAAGGAAGAGATGCTGTCAAGCATGGGAGACCCACGAACACATATATACAGAGCTACAGATTCTTGGGTACAAATAGAGCAACTAGCAGACACAAGCACAGACGTGGATACCTGTATACACACACACAGACACACACACATGTGCAAAATTACTCACAGGTACTCACAGCCCTTCAAACACCCAGAGGCCTTCACACACACACACACACACACGCGCGCGCGCGCGCGCACACACAGTCACAGACTTGTATGCACACAGTTGCTCAGACACCCACGTAAACGTGCCATGTACACAGTGTGAGACCTGAGTGTTCTCACCAGCACACAAATGCTCACACACACTGAGACACAGATTCTGACATGGACACGCCCAGTATCACATTATAGCTCCACAGACTTAAATGTACACCCACGGTGGCACGCGTGAACATGAGAGCAGAAATGTAAATACATAGTTACTCATACTCATGCACAGTGCACATGCACACATACACACAGTGAACACACATACACATCAGCATTGCACCTTCCCACCTCCACGACTTTGCCTTCCTGTAGCAGGAGGGATTAAGACAAGACAGGAGAAGCCTGCCCTCCCCACCTAGCAGGACACTAGCTATATCCCTCCCCACTGGACCCCCCTCCCCCCCAAGCTCTTGGCTTGGAAACTCCCTGGATTTCCCAGAGGGCCAGCCAACCACAACAGGCTCAGACCTCCCAACCCAGCACCCTGGCCACACACCCTCCACAGCTCTAGCCAGCACTCCTCTGTCATCCACAGCCAAGGAGCTGCCTGTTTTCCCCCCTAAGAAACCCATCCTGATTAACCCTCCAGACTTCTCCAACTCTTCTTAGACATGAGATCCTCAGACCTCAGGGACTCATGGCAGCTGTGCTTGGGCCCAGTTCCTCTGGAGACGTCCTTAAGTGTCTTCCATGCCAATGGAGTAAGACTTGGAAGGCCCGGGAAGTGGCAGGCTTGTCTTGGGAACTCACTTTGGGAAGAGAAGTCTGGCTCACATTGAGCAGAAGTGGATAGAAGATGGCCAGTCCTAATGTGGGGTACAAGGAGGGGGGGCCCTCCACCAGCACACTGGGGCTCCCAAGGGTGGGAACAGGCTCTTCCTTCTCTCTGGAGTCACCAGAGTCTTGCCTCAGACTGGAGCATGGCAGACATTGGCCCCAGGAATTTTCACCCCTAGTCAGGGCTGCTACTGGCTCAAAGCAGCCCAGCCCAGGGCAGAGCTCTGCAGCAGACAATGAACCGGTTCTGACCTCCAGTCTCCAGAAAGACAAGAGATTCCTCTGGTCCCAGTCTGTTTAACTAGCTCCAGTGGCAACCCATCCAGGCCATGGCCCAGCTCAGCTACAACTTCAGGCCTTAAAATTAGGGTGCTGGAGTGTGTGGGAACCAAACCTCCAGAAAGAAGTCCTTTCCAGCGGAGCAGAGCACAACACTACAGCAGCAGAGTTGAAGCTAGACACGAGGACAGACTTTCTGGGCATAGGAGAAAACTCTGAGGGGCTGGTGTGATGAGAGAAGGAGAGGATGGTTCTGTCTGGGGGCAGAAGATGAGGAGAAGGACCTCACAAACCCCCTTTCAGTCCACGGTTCTCTGGAATTCCTGAGGCTCCTGCTTCAACTCCCAGACGGCATGCAATGAGGAAATAGTGCTTCCCAAAGGAAAGATGGAGCCAGAGCCCACACCCATTCCCGGGGCAGAGGTGGATCCGGTCTCAGGAGAGAAACATGTTCATCTCACCCATCTGAAGCAGAGTCTCACTGGGGTGAAGGTTGAAAAACCACAGTCTCTCCGGTCATCCCATCACAGCCTTCCTGGGACCCTTGGCTGCTGAATTAATTTGCAACTCCTTGATGTTTAATGAAGTTGAAAAATCTTCTCATTTGTTTTTTGGCCATTTGCATGTCATCTGTGAATTGCTTATTTGAGTCCTTTGCCCATTATTCTGTGAGATTGTCTTTCCTCCTACTTATTTAGAGGAGCTCTTTATATATTATAGATATCAACCCTTTGTTATATATGTTGCAACACTTTCTTCCAGGCTGTTTTTTGTCTTTTCACTTTATTATGGTATATTTTGCTTTAATGAAATATTTGCTTTTTACTTAGTCAAGTTACACATTCCTTTGTGGCTTCTAGGTTTCATGTCATGCTTTTAAAATGCCTTTTCCACTCCGTAATTATAAAAATGCTTCTTCTATTTTTTCTTTTGATTTGTATGATTTTCATTTTATATTAGGTTTTTAATCTATCTAGATTTTTAAAAAATGTATAGTGTGAAATAAGACTTAACTTTATTTCTTTCAAATGAAAAGCCCATTATCCCAAGTCCATTTATTCAATTTTTTACTTTCCTGCTATTTTAAAACACCTTATTATCGTACACCCAGTCCTCACAAATACTCAGTTTTATTCTGGATTCTATTATTCCATTAATTTATTTGTTAATTTGCACCAAATCACGCTGTTTTAATTGAAGAAGTCTTATTGAACATTTTGAAATCTGGCAAGGTGAATTCCCCCATTAGTCTTCTTTTCCAAAAAGATCTAAGCTATTCTCAAGTATTTACGCTTCCCAAACTTTAGAATTAATTAACTTGTCAAGTTCGGGGAGCGGTGGGGGAATTAGGCTTTTGATTTGAATTACATTCAATTTATAGATTATTTAGGGCAGAACTGACATCTTTACAATATTATATTGAGCTTTCTAGTTCAGGAACATGATATACCTTTATAGTTATTCAGGTCTTATTTTATGTCTGTCAGTAAAGCTCTACTGTTTTCCTCATGTATATTTTATGTATTTCTTATTAAGTTTATTCCTGGGTGTTTTGTAATGTTGCTGTTGTGAATGGCTCTTTTGTCTCTTTATATTTTCCAATTGGTTGTTTTAGTTGTATAGAAATGGTTTTGATTTATCTATGTTTAACACATATTCTGCTACCTACTAATTTCTCTCATTAGTTCTAATAGTTTTTCAGTTGATTCTCTTAGATTTCCTATGTAAACAATCACATCATTGGTCATTCTCAAAGATTTTGCCTCTTTTCCATCTCATATTTATATCCCTCATTTCTTTTTCTTATCTTATTGCTCTAGTTAGGGCCTTCAGAATAATGTTGATTGATAGCAATGATAGCAGCCAGCAATTTACAACTTTTATGGTTCTCTGTACCCAGAGTATCCACACAGAATTACCTGTGATTCTAGAGCTAACAATTAGCCCTGTATACATCAGATAGGACCAAACAGCAGACACACTAGTAGGTCCTGACAGCTGCCCTTTCACCATGAAATTCCATCAGTTATTAAAGTAAGGGAGCAGGGCTTTGATTGCTAATGTGAGTTCCAGAGAAAGGTGGATTGAGTCAGGGCCTCTGTTCTAGCCCCCAGAACACAGTTTCTATACCCAAGTGGGCAATCTAGCACACCCTCATTTCCTACCCAGCACCACTGAACTTGGTGAAGAGAAAGAAAGCATGCATTTATTGGAAAAACACACACACACACACACACACACACACACACACACACACACACCAGGGATTGTGCTAGGAACATTAAACACAATCTTATTTAATCCTCATAACAACTCTATGGGTGAATAACATTATCCCCTTATTAACAGATGAGGGGGCGGCCGGTTAGCTCAGTTAGTTAGAGTGCAGTGCTTATAACACCAAGGTTGCTGGTTCGATTCCCACATGGGCCACTGAGCTGCACCCTCCACAACTAGATTGAAACAACTACTTGACTTGGAGCTGATGGGTCCTGGAAAAACACACTGTTCCTCAATAAAATTTATTTTTTAAAAAAACAGATGAAGAAACCGAGGCTCAGAGTGGTAAGTATGGAAGATAACCTAGCTAACCATCACTCACAGACGGGTTCAGTATCTGCTTCAGCACCCTCTTTTCTGAAATGAGTATTCCCTGCCTAGACCAAGTAGTCTCCAGATGTTTTAGTCTACCCCGCACTAGTGCCAGATGACCGCCACCATCCCCTAGCCAAGGCTGACATTACTTCCCTCCTTGGAATGAGATAGAGTAAGCGGGGAGGAACTGACCTGTCCACACTCTCAGGTCAAAAACTAAAGTCCCAGTCTTGCTGGGCAGTAGATCTACCACTAGGTCCCTGGAGCCTTTAGTTCCAGGAAGACAGACTAGTGGGCTTAGTAGCCAGGACAAGAGGAGGAAGAGGTGGAGGAGGAAGAGGAGGAGGAGGAGGAGGAGGAAAAGAATGACTAGAGATAGGAGACAGGGGTGGGACAAAGAAAATGAAAAAGGAAGCAGTGAGAAAGTGGTGGGGACAGGGTCTGGGCAGAAACAGAGAGGGCTGTCGGAGAGCCAGGGACAGGCCCTAGACCTAAGTCCAGGTAGGAGCAGTGGGACTAATTCGTAGGTCTCACCAGGCACTCTACTCTCAAGGTAGACTCTGGGGGCCAGGGCCAGAGCCACAACCACAGGGGTTTCTGTTTCCATTCTCTAGACCAGGGGTCGGCAAACTTTTAAGACAGAAGAGCTAATCCTGTCCCTCACAACAATTTAAAAATTATTCGAGAGCCATAAAACAAATGAAATCACCACTATGTGAATAACATCCTTTAAAAATGTTATAAATGAGACTATGATACTTTTATTTTCATTTTCAATTTTACTTCAGAGCCACAAGTACGTACCCAAAGAGCCGCATGTGACTTGCAAGCCGCAGTTTGCCAACCCCTGCTCTAGTCTAGACCATAAAGAGTGGCCACGGGATCACGACACAGAACCCCGGGGACCCCATTTTCACCCACTCAGAGGCACAGATGTACACACAGAAAAGGATCGCTGGCCCAGAGCAGAGATGTGTGCACAGGAAAGAGGGTATAAACACACAGATGACACACAAGAGGGCATGGTCACAGGGCTGGACACAGGGACACGGACCCACACACAGATATGAGGAAGACCTGATGCAGATGAACGTATAGACACGTGGGGAGACTTACATGCCCAGAGACACACACAGGGAGTCGTGGACACATGTACACATGGGTGCACACACCCCACACACAAGGAGCCTCCCTGAAGGTGTCAGAGGGATCATGGAGAGGCAGAGAGATGGCCGGACCCCATGGGCAGACCATTCTCGGCAAATCTGTGTTTATGCCTGCCCTTGAGGGGTCACAACTGCCACCAGGCCTCAGAAAACCCTGGGCCACCACCCAGAGCTGCTCCCCAGAACCATCTCACCGGCTCCATGAACATACATGTGGTGGCCCGGCTCTCCTGACACATGTGGACATGTCCCGACAGGCCTGAGCTCCACCCATGGGGGCTGACATCCCCATTCTGGGGTGCAAATGGGGGCCACGGGACAACCCCCTTCTCCGCAGGCCATAGGCTGTGCCCGCTGGCAGAGACAGGGGGCCTGGGCAGGCCCAGGAGGAGGGAGGGGTTGGGGGGGGCCGGGGTGCGGCTGGGGCGGGCACAGGAGCCTGTACCTGTCAAACAAGAGCCAAGGAGCAAACTAGCTTCTTAGTCACCTTGTTCTTCTCCCCGTTTTGGCAGCAGCCCCTCGGGGCAAGGGGAAGCTGATATCATAATTATTGGCTCACCCAGCAGCTGCCTCCCCTCACCTGATGTCAGCACAGACCCGGGACGGCCAAGCTGACGGACTGACAGACGGACTGAGCTCTTGGCCCCCCAGCCTCGGGCCCCCACGCCGACCTGCTTCATTGAGCGGGTAAGAGGAGACCCGGCCTAAGTCAGCCGTGGAGGCCAGCAGGGCTGGGCCAGGGCATGGGATGGGGGGTGGCTTTTTTAACGGGCCCTGGGAAGTGATTGAGAGCACTGGGGTCTTTTCCATCTTCTCACTGCACCTCAAGGGAGACTCAGGAAGTGTGGTGAGTGCCTGAAGGCCAAGGAGGACCCCCTCCTGCATGCTCCTCCCTCTCGTTTCTGTTCCAGGTTGTCTAACTTCAATCTTTCTTGCTGTAGCATGGTTTTTCGGTCCTGTGTTTATTGGATTTTGTGTGTGCTGGTGTGTGTTGGAGAGGGTGTGCTTCGCCATCCTGTGCTGGGAGAAAACAAGAACTCAGAAGTGCTAGAACTGGAAAACCTGAGCTGAAAGACAGGGAGGCAGATTCCCAAATTAGTGCCTTTTCCAGAGGGAGAGGGGCGAGCTCAGCTCTGGGGGCTGGTTGGTGACAAGGGTGTGTGTTGACTAACTTCTCAGGGCAGCCAGGGCTGGGGTCTAGATGCCTGGGGCCTGAGGCCTTGAGGGAGGCCTGGGTTGCAGGAAGGAGGCGGTGCACCTGGTGGAGAGGCAGACAGGTGGCAAACAGGTGCTGTGGCCAGTACTTGATCCTGAGGTCAAGGCAGAAACCCCCAGAGGTCTAGAAACATCTCTCTCCCTCAAGACCCCTGAAGCCAAGAGGCCTGATAATCAGATTTGGGATATGCAGGGAGCTCAGACCCTTGAAGCCTACAGTTGGGGTCTGGGAAGTAGAAACCTGTAGGGAAATGGCTGGAGCAGCGGGAAGCCCCCCTCTGGCTCCCAAGGCTCCTCCCCACCCCCTACCTGATCAGGTAAGGTTCTGGCATTCCCCGTGGAGTCCCCCAGGCCCTCCCTAAATGTCCAAAGAAGCAGGTTAGATTAAGAAGAGACTCTAACAAGTGGGTGTGTTTGCCTCTTCTCCCTGCACCTACAGGTGGGGGAGTGGGGTGGGGGGGAAATACGCTTATATGTGCATGGTGGCCAGGTACAGCTGGTCAGATGTAAAGGACCTGGGCAGAGAGGGCCCATTCTCTTGAGATGTTATCTCGCCTGTCCCCCAGCCTCTAAGCCGGTCATCTCCCACACCAGACAGGGCTGGCCCCTACTTGCTTTCCTAATCCCAAAGGAGGAAACCCTATAAGTTCTCTCACAGCCGTGAAGTCCTTCCTGCAGCCTGAAGTTTCTCTGCTGTCCCCCACGGCCTTCATTGCTCCCAGTTTCTCTGGGCTGATTGGAGGGTGAGGTGGGGACGGTGGCATTGCACTCTCTCCTGTC